ATACTTTGTATTCTATAAGCAAAAACGTTAATTTGATATCGAATTTCAGAAAATAAATATGGCAGATCCAATATGGCGGACAGAAAAATTTTAAAATGCATCGGATTTGCTTGAAAGTTGTTACTCAGGGGTTTTTGGGGTCGCTGATGCCGAATCTGATGTTTATTTTCAGAAATTCAAAATGGCGGATCCAATATGGCGGACAAAAATTTTTTTAATTCATCAGATTTGATTGAAAGTTGTGTCTCGGGGGTTTTTGGGGTCGCTGATGCCGAATCTGATGTTTATTTTCAGAAATTTAAAATGGCGGATCCAATATGGCGGACAAAAATATAAATTTTCCAGCTTTTATTGGTACTACTTAGTATTAAATCAATAAATTAAATAACACATTAAGTTAAATTTGTTACAAATATTCTTCAAAATTGTTTAAACAAATATTTGTTATTTATTAACTTTTTAGTTTTTTCCATTGTACCTTGAGGGATGTAGTATTTATCTAATTTTGCAATTTATAAAGCTAATTATAATGACCGATAAAAGTTATAAATGTCAAATCGATATTTCAGCAACTGTTTAATAATCATATAATTAAACAATTAATTGTTAAATTTTTTCTAATTACACATAGAAAATGCGTATTTTCAAATCTACAATTTACTGAACAAATAATAATAAATAAGTAATATGAATGACAAATTACAGTTAAAAAAATATTTATTTGAATAATTATTGAGATAACCATTTCACAAAAATTCTTTATTCATTAAATAAATAAATTTTTCGAGGCGCACCGTAAAAAAATTAATAAATATCAATAATAACTTAATTAGATAATTATTAAAACAATTGGAGGATGAAGTAATTAATGTTTTTAAATTTTTCCTTCCTCATAGAGGAAGTATCTTTATTTTTTATTATGTGTAAAGCCGAACACAAGAAAAACTTAGGAAAAAGCATTTTTTTAACGCACCATATAAAACTTTCTGAAAATCGACATCAGATTCAGTATCAGCGACCCCATAAACCCCCGAGTAACAACTTTGAACCAAATCTGATAAATTAAAAAAAATTTTGTCCGCCAAATTGGATCCGCTATTCTAAATTTTTGAAAATTAACATCAGATTCGGCATCAGCGACCCCAAAAACCCCCGAGAAACAACTTTCAATCAAATCTGATGAATTAAAAAAAATTTTGTCCGCCATATTGGATCCGCCATTTTGAATTTCTGAAAATAAACATCAGATTCGGCATCAGCGACCCCAAAAACCCCCGAGAAACAACTTTCAATCAAATCTGATGAATTAAAAAAAATTTTGTCCGCCATATTGGATCCGCCATTTTGAATTTCTGAAAATAAACATCAGATTCGGCATCAGCGACCCCAAAAACCCCTGAGTAACAACTTTCAAGCAAATCCGATGCATTTTAAAATTTTTCTGTCCGCCATATTGGATCCGCCATATTTATTTTCTGAAATTCGATATCAAATTAACGTTTTTGCTTATAGAATACAAAATATGTATCCTTGTGCTAATTTTACCCCCAATTCATAGGTGATCTCCTCATTCAATCCCTTTTTATTAGCACTTTTAGGCCGCTTTTTTTTAATTAAGATACATTTATAGGTTATATTGGAGCCGCCATATTGGATTTTTCAAAAGGCCACATATTTTTCGAAAGTACCTATATATATGAATAACTTTTGGGTATAACCAATTTTTTAGGAAACTCTCAATTTTGGCCAACGGGGTGGCACACTTAACGTGAAACGTCCCATATATATATATATATATAAACATTTATTAAGACAACCTTTCCTTACGAGGTTCGGTCTTTAAATTTCGTGCTCTTTCCAAAGGAATAAAAAGGTGAACTAAGAAATATCAATCTAGTGACCCTAGATTTGATATTCATCAATTTTCGGAAGTTTATGCCAGAAAAAACAGAGAGAAGAGGCATTCATTAATTTGGATTAACATTTCAAGGTAGAAATTCCAAGTAGTGAGTAAAACGTATCGCATTTCGTAACACATTCTCTTGAACTCATTCACACACATACACACATCTACTCCTACGACTCACTCAACAGTTAGCATATCTGTAATAGGGATTTTTGAGTAAAATATATCTTATCATTATATTTAAACTTAATCTTGTTTTTTTAAATTTCAATTAACCTATCTTCTCCAAATTCAAGGGATAGGATTCTCACCCCTTGGTTGAACTAATAACCAAGAAGAAGGAAGAATCCACTACCCTTTACAAATTATTTGTCCGAAGGACACGTTAAGGGGATCCCACTTATCGACATTGCAGATCTAAAATGATTAAAAATCTGCAACGACCGTTTCTTGGAAAATATAAAATATTATTACCTATAAATTTGGAAAACTTTTTTTTTATCATGAATACACAGGATGAGTATTTTATTTGTTGTAATTATTTGAAAAAAATTATTGTTAGAAAGTTAAATATGGGCAGTTTCCCTGTAACACATCTTTGACTACTAGCTCAAACTGCAACGACCATTTCTCGAAAACAACGAAACAAAATAATTTTTCCATTTAGGAAATTTAATTTTGTAGGAAAATACGGAGGATGAGACTCATTTGCCATTCAGGAATAAATAAAAACTTTATTTTTTGTAAAGTGTATATGTGACAGCTGTTCAGTGGCACTTGATATTTAATTTACTAGCATTAACTTTTCTTTAACAATTTGAACAAAATAAATCTCTCTCATTGTGTGTCTTTCATCACTAATGAATTTTTACTCAAAAAGAGAACATTATATTTTATTGTTGTTAATTTAAAGCTAAAAATAATCAAAATTTGTCAGTTTTGGAACCTTTGGCGCCATCTCTTGGTTCTATGAACTACTAAAAGCTGTCACATGTGTTCTTCTTGTTGTAAATTGCTATACAAAACAGTTTACATAAATTAAAGTTTTTTATTGTTGTTTTCATATGTAATGAATCTTATTATGTGAATTTTTTATTAAAATTAAGTTTGCTAAATGGAAAAATTATTTTGTTTTGTTGTTTTCAAGAAAAGGTCGTTGCAGTTTGGGCTCTTGGAAACTGACCATATTTAATTTTCTAACAATATATTTTTTTTAATAATTACAACAAATAAAATACTCATCCTGTGTATTCATGATAAAAAATGAGTTTTCCAAATTTATAGGTAATAATATCTTATATTTTCCAAGAAACGGTCGTTGCAGATTTTTAACCATTTTTGATCTGCATTGTCGGTATGTGGGATCCCCTTGTTAAAGTTTTTTTTTTTAAATTGATATTATCAAATTAATTAATTTAATTTTTCAAATTCGACTCTAACAAACTGGTGGCAGCGGTGGGATTCTTTCTCTTTATTCTTAGAAGGAAAGAGAAGATAGAAAAAGTAAAAAAAAATTAATAATTAAAAAAAAAATTTTTTTTTAAAGACATAGAGTAGAAGGGGGTAATGTAGTGCAGGGGGTAATGTAGTGCACTGGCTTTACCGACTAAACGAATGAATTGAATTACCTGCCGTCGGTATGGTAGGTTCATAGTATCAAAGTATAGTAATGTATAACATTTTGGCTTTATTGTGCTTCTTGTAAAAGAAGTTGTGGCGTCACTTCAAAAACACTAGATTTCAATACCATATTTCCGTTTTTTTAGTGACTTGAAGAAAATATAAGGCTCGTTAAACTAGTATCAGGTAAGTCATTTTTCCATGTAAAATTTACTGCTGAACACAAATTTAGTATTGTTTTGACGTTTACTTTTGTTTTTATTGAGATATTGAAGTCAACGTGAAGAGAGTGCTTGGGGGCATTGTAGTGCACGGGGTTGGGGGCAATGTAGTGCAATTATACAGAGTACCGTAAATATGTATTATTTAACCATGTTTGCTTTTTGTAATTTTTTAAGCATAAGATTTTTTATGACAAAAGAAGAAAACCCAACCTATAATTTTTTTAAAGCTAGGGGAGTGTAAGGTATTGTGGCGGACACTTTCTTTTTTGCGTCTCTCTCTCTCAAAAAACAATATTTTTCAAAATTTCAAAAGCAGGCAGTTGCTGACATCTATTAAGCATATTTCTGTCAGAAGCAGCTGTTAAAATTTAAATTCAGTGAAATTTTACAGCTCTTGGCGCAAAAAACTGATTTTTTTTATTTTTGAAAGTTGTAACGTATGGTGGCGCATTTGGTGTATTTAACTAAATTATTATGTAGATGTTAAAATTATTTATTAAAACTACTAGAAATGATGAAAAATAACAAAAAGAGAAAAAATTGATGATTTTACATTATAGAAAAAAAAGTTTCACTTCAGTTATGGTTAGAATTTGGACATGTAAAGTAGCTGGTCACTGTTTTAACGCAACTAGAATAAGAAAAGACCGCAAGTGTCACATATTCGAGAATTGTTGCGTTGGAGCACAAGAGGCATTAGTACACAAAAAATGCAAAGACAATTGAAACTCGTGCAAAAAATGATCCGCCACTGTACGTTACAAAAATTGCGCCATCATACCTTACAAGCTATTGATGAAAATATGATGGTGTTACTTTTATACAGTGCGAATTGAGAAAAATGTAAAACACAAAAAACTGTTGTCCAAGGTCTAAACAATACGTTCCATACATTTACCAGACTCAATTTTCAAAAAATCTTCACTCTGGCACTGTTAACACACATAAACAATAAAACTTTTTTTCTTTTTTTCACTACTTTTTTATTCAAAATCACTTAAAGTACAAAACACGCGTTTGATCATTAATACTACGGCATATAAAATGTCATCACGATAAAAGACATCGACCATAGTGATAAAGCGCTTCAGATGTGACGTTACATGCCAGATTTGACAAGTCCGCCACCATACCTTACACGCCACGATACCTTACATTCCCCTACTATTCATTTTTTGAAATAGAGAGTTATTCGTTATTATTAGTCAATGATAACTGTATGCTAAGTTATTCTTCTTGTTTTTAGCGAAATGGTGCGATATCGTGAACGAATTACAATGAAACCAGATGACAATAAAATTAATCTAGCGATAGAATTTGTCCGAGAAGGTTACAGTGTGCGAGGCGCAGCAAAACGTTTCGGAATCCCACTACAAACTTTGCGCCAACGATTAAAAGGATGTAAAACAAAAAGTGAAGCACATATGGCTCAACGAGTAAGTAATTGTGTGGAGTAATTTTATAGATCATTTTTATATCGGCATTCACATTTTAGGTATTCAACTGCGAACAAGAACAGCAGCTCGAAGAATATTTGTTGAAGTCCGCTAAATTGTTTTACGGCCTTTCGATTCATCAACTTCGAACACTTGCTTTTCAATTTGCACAGAGACTGAAGGCAGCCAAATCTATTAAAAAAATTCCTGCAAGTTGGTTTCCAAAAAATGATGAAAAACCAGCTGCTAGTAGAGATTGGACTGAAGGTTTTATGAAACGACATCCCAAGTTGACTTTACGTTGTCCAGTATCAACATCGCTTGGTCGAGCGATTGCGTTCAATGCTCACATCGTTCAAGAGTTTTTTGATTTGTACGAAAAAATCCGGCAATCACATCAATACACAGCGGCGACAGTGTGGAATATGGATGAAACAGGGCTAAATACTGTGCATAAAACGAAATACGTTATAGCTCAAAAAGGTCAGAGATGTGTATCAGCTATCAGTTCAGGTGAACGCGGTACCAACGTGACTCTCACAATGGCTGTTTCTGCCGCCGGCGAAAAAATTCCACCATTTTTCGTCTTTCCACGGGTTAATATGAAAGATAAATTCCTCCTGCACAGCAATGAGGATGCAAAGGGTGTTGCGAATGGATCAGGTTGGCAGACTGCTAACACTTTCTGTAAATTTTTACTTCATTTCAAACAACATGCAATTAAAGCAAGCACCAAAAGGACTTTGCTTATTCTCGATAATCATGAATCGCATATGACCATTGAAGCATTGGAGTTTTGTAAGCAGAATAATATTGACCTGTTGACGCTGCCTCCACACACCAGTCACAAACTACAGCCACTAGATCGAGGTGTTTTCGGACCTTTAAAATCATATTACGCAAACCAATGCAATGCCTGGATGTTTAATCATCCCAGTGTTCCAATTGCAATTGAAAATGTCGCTGAACTGGCTACAGAGCCAATCCTCAAAGGTGCCTCGTCGGTGAATATTATTAGTGGATTCAGAGCAACGGGAATTTGGCCATTTAACAGGAACATTTTTACAGAAGATGATTTCTTGGCCTCAACTGTGACTGATCGCCCGTACGAAAACGTAGACAAAGCATCATTGTCTCATCCCATGTCACCTACGCTACCGCTTGAACCAGTAATTCAAGAGCCATCAATTTCGAATCCGATGAGTCCTTTAAATCAAGAACCTATGCAAGTTGATGTCAACCAAATCTCAGTTGAAGTTATTCGGCCGTTACCGAAAGCTGAAGCCCGAAAAGAAAGCAATCGTGGTCGCAAGCGTCGTAAGGCTGCCATTCTGATTGATCCAGAGATGATTGAGACCATTCGTGTTGAACAAGAGGAAGTTGCTAAAAAAAAAGACGCCCTATCTGTCAAGAAGAAGTTAGCTGCAGAAAGAAAATTTGATAAAGAGTTGTTAAAGCGACAAAAAGCTGCTGAGAAAACAAATAAAGAAGCAATAATCAAGATTGAACCAAAACGTAAACGCGGCCGTCCCTGTGTTGCTAAGGTTCCAAAAGACGAGGAAGATGACGAAGTGATTTTGAAATACCAAACAAAGCGTCGCCGTTAAAAAATAATTTGTTTTACAATCTCTTTTTCTTTTTGTAAATTTTTTCAGTTTTCTTTAAGTTTTATCTAACACATGACCAAAGAAATCTCTAGTTTATAGTGATGTCCACGAGACGAGATGATACCATGCAAAGTCTCGTCTCGTCTCGTCTCGTCTCGTTTTTTTTTTTTCGCCTCGTCTCGTGGGCATCACTACTAGTTTATAGTTTTTTAAGTTTCTTATGTTCCTAATATTATATCTAATAAAATAAAATCGTTTATAATATATTCTCTGGTTTTTATTTCACTAATAAAGTGGTGCACTACATTGCCCCCCAAATTTTAGTATGTCGAAAAAAAGTACCTTCAGTTTTTTGGATATAGCAAAGCTCCATCAACATCTACAAAAAAATAATGTACACCATAAATGTAGCTAGAAACATTGTCTTTCCAACGAGTCCTTATTGATCAAAATTGGTTGAAAATTGCGACCACAGGAGTCTTCGAAAGAAAAGTGCACTACATTACCCCCTTCTACTCTATATAAAGTTAAATTTTTACATACAGGGTTACACTATACACATTAATACTGTAACGCGGCATTTTATTCGCCGCGTACAAATTAATAAATTTTGTCAATAATTGAATTCTAATCTTTTCTTATTCACGTCAAATCGAGAATCAACATTTATTTTCTCCTTCCGAGAATTATTCTCTTATTTATCCACTTTCGCAAAATGCATAGTTTCAAACCTGTAAAATAGCGAACCGTCAGATCGCTGGTCAACACAATTATTGTAAACATAAGAAAACTGATACTTCGATATTCTTTCATGTAAAACTTAACACCGCGAGTTCTTGACTTCTCAACGCCCGGATTACTGCCGAGATATTGCTCCGTATTCGTCCAACATGGGAAATGTTTCCTGACTTATTACTGGAAATAAATGCCGGTCATATTAATTATTATTATTTTATTATTTATTAATATCCATCGGTGGGGACATCAGCTGTCATAACACTGGCCGCAGCCATCTTGCGAACCAGTCGTCGTCGTGCAGTGCCCCTCGCGGAGACTAAACGAACTTTTATGAACTCTTCTCGACAGTCGGTAAATTACCTAATTACTGACTGGCGCGCAACGATTACCATCGGAAAATCTTTGTAACAAGTGCGCGTGAGACTCACCACGAAGGAGAGATGCGCGTCGACTTTGGCGTCCCCGTCGGCCATTTAATGCATTCTCGTTTTGGCGTTTGAAATTGACAGGTCGCAGTAGACCACTCTTTAATTAAAATTAATAAATTAATTACTTGTTTGTGCCTTGTGCTGAGAGGATGAGCCGTGGGACAATGAGGGGACGTCGGCGTATCTCCGGTGAGTCTCTTAGTAATTGAATGTGTTGTCTCCTGACGAACAATCGATTTAAATTTAAAGTGTGTCAATTTTCTTTGTTTCACGACATGTCATTTTTGTAACTTTTGAACAGGTCCCGTCTGGACCTGTAATTTCTTGTGATTAAATCAAAAACGAAAACAAACTAACTGGTGATTTCTCTTACCCCGCGCTCTCCTTGAAAAGATTGAGCTAGCGTAAAATCAATTAAATTTTAGGTTTGAATATTTTTCCATAAAATATCTCTGGCGTTCGGGCATTAATTCAAACAACAAAGTAACGTGTGTTTTATTTAATTAGTTAATCCTGAGATAAACAAAAGTAAATTCTTGAAATAAAATAACCTTAATCAGAGTAATAAAATTAATAGTAATTTCTCAAATAATTAGAATAATAGTAAGACACCCGTTATAATACAAAAAGGTTGATATATTTTATGGGAAATTTATATATATATATATATATATATATATATATATATATATGCTAAAGTGGCTACGATGACGCATACACGCATGGTCTCTCGGCACATCATATACACCGACACTCTCGTAGACTCCGTTCGTGAATGTAACTCACACCGACATGCAAGTTCTCAGCCACAGGCACCAACACATCTTCCATACACTTGCCTCTGCTCGCTGTTCTCCTCCCATGAAACCTTCCCCTTTCCCTCGGGCCCACAAGCCACGTTGCAGCATAACAACAAACGCACGTGCGTTTGACAACCTGACTCTACGCCAGGGTTGCTCAACCACCAAAATTGGTTGATTTTAGGAACCCTGATTGATCAAACCATAATTTTGGGATCAAGGATGCAAAAAAAAAAATTATATATATATATATATATATATATATATATATATTCAACAATTACATAAATTTGTACAATTGTTACCACATTTACAACTGTATGGTTGTTAATTAATTTAAACAACCATTATAAATTTTATTGCACAAAAAGAAATTGATGAAATGAAATTAGTTTCATTTAAAAACAGAAAAATATCAAATTTCAGTCATTTCCGTTCCCAGGAAAAACTGTCGATGCATTTTAGAGTCAGCAAAACTGCAACGTCCAATGGGCTAAGAATTCTTTCCTACTCCTGAAAATTAAAATTTCCTCGTTCGCAAAATTGTCCCACTCTGGAGGTAAAACAAGGACTAGAGGCTAGTCAAAATCTTCTAATAAATGCAGTACTACTTCTTGCTTCTCTCGAGCAACACCTCTCCTGGCTTTAGCTTGGCAAGTGTTGCGAAAAACAAGAACGCCGCGACTTAGCCCGTCTTCGAGTCGGACCCCCGTGTAAAACTTTTTAAGTATAACGCGAAAGGCGGACGAAAAATCAAATTAAATTCTTCTAACCGACGGAGTCCTTCGAGAATTGTGTCGGAAGAAAATCGGCTATAATTAATTAATTATAGCAGATTTTGTTTGTGTGAAACCGGCCAGCCCGTGTGTGTAGCGCCTGCGCCGTTCCGATACAACGGCCTTGACAAAAGAATTTGTTTTAAATAAATAAATTTTTTTTTTGGAATTTCCTTAAATATAAAAGAATTTGTTTTAAATAAATAAATTTTTTTTTGGATTTCCTTAAATATAAAAGAATTTGTTTTAAATAAATAAATTTTTGGAATTTTCTTAAATATAAAGAAAAGCATTAAAGTTCAAATTTGTTTTATTTGAACTAAAAGACTAAAATCACGTTGTGTGCCAACAACAACGGAAGTTTGTTTCGCCCGACGGCAGTTGATTGTGACACCACTGTCGCCGGTAGAGTAAGTAATTGTATCATTCTAAATTTAGTACCAATAAATAAACCTCTTTGTTTTTCTCAAGCTAACTTCTCTCTTTTACTTACATTAAATTCCTCACACAAACATTTCTTTAGAAGCAGTGCGTAACTTTTAAAAGTGGAAAACGAATTCCCAAGGAATTCGGCAGTTTGGTGCCTCCCCAAAGTAGAATTTTAGAGCCATCTCAAAAGCTCGGTATTTTTAAATAAATAAATTCTGGTTTGTAACACTCTGGACTGATACATTCCAGCGCTAAAACATAAAAAAAACTAATATTAGAATATTAAAAAAAACAAACAAACAAACACTGAAATTAACATTACAAGACTAATTAATTATTATTAATTCTCATACTTACAACATCCCAAGCCTTGGAGATTATAAACATTTCCTCCCACTCCAATTTGTACCGTTGTACAAAAACAAGCTCCAACGCAGGGTTCTTAGGACGAAATCCAAGCTTAGGAGGATCAGTAGGCAAAGACAAAAAGCTCCTATAACACAAAAAAAAGAACAAAATAAATAAGGTTTTCCTTCATTAAAGAATAATTTTAATAGTTAAAATAAAAAAAAGGAGCACAACAAAATAAAATCACTCACCTAAAACAAGTGTTGACGCCCAAAATGCCTATCACCTCCTCCATTAATTCTTCTTCCGACACAGGAGTGGAGGTGGGACTCTTGAACATATCTGGAGCCCAATAATAACGAGAGAGACTCATATTTTCTCAACTCCCAGGACCACCTATACTCCTGGTGCCATACAAATTTATCGTAAGGAGCATACTCAGGGTAGCATCGGGAGGTCATAAGAGGCCAAGGCCCAGTACCCTCCCTCAGCTCCGCATCCTGCCACGGAGACACAATCACACGTACTCTAAAACATTTTTTTTTCTCACGTTAATACAAAACAAAACAAAAAACACACAATCTCACATTAACAACATCCACAAAATAAAATTTCTTTAAAACTCACCCCCTCTCCCCTCTCGCAAAAGAGGCACGTTGAGCGTCCTCAATTTCGGCCAACTTCAACAGCAAAAAACTCTCCGTGCTCGTGACTCCACGCTCCACGAAACTCAAAACTTCCTTCATCAAGGATAAATCAAAAGATGCCATTGTATTATTTTTTTTCCTTCTCTTCTTTTACACCAAACTACAACAAATCACAAAAACCGACTCAAAAAGAAAACGACTACACCAAACGAAAGACTTACAGAAACTGACAAAATACGAGAAAGACACCACAACAACCAGCCAAAAGTACAAATCAGCACTATCAAATCATTAAAAAGAGAAGTTAAAGATTTTAAACCAAAGACAGGAAAAAAGAATCCAAATGTTAGTTTTACTTAAAATCTATTTGTTGATGCTTGGGATGAAACACCCTTTATCCAGCATAATTTGTTTATAACAATTTTAAAAAACAAAATACGACTTGTAGAGAAAAATGACCTATACAAGACATTCTTATTTTTCCACATAGAATCGATTGGTGTTAACAATTTTCAAATATTTTTAAATTTTTATTAATTTGTTTAAACAATTGTTGTTAAAAAATTGGAAATTAGAAACAAAAAAACAGGTAATTTTGATAATGTATATGATCTTGGGACGGTAAGATTTGAATAAAATTCAAAAGTGTGTCGTTAAAAGAGCGACGTTTCGTTGGCCAGGGTTTGCCAACCTCATCAGGCTGACTCTGTGTTGGCTAAAGCGTACGGACTTCCAAAAATACATAAGGAAAATGTTCCACTTCGTCCAATCATTTCTGTAATTAATAGCCCCACTCATTTTCTAGCCAAAACATTAGTTAATTCTTTGAAAAATTGTATTAGTTTACCACGATCACATATTAACAATAGTTTAGAATTAAAAAAACAAATTATGTAACCTTGCCATGGACGATGGCTACACTTTTCTTTTACTTGATGTAAGTTCTATGTTTACAAACATCTCCTGTGAACTAGTCATTCAGAGTTTAGATCGACGCATACGCTTTATAAATCAAAATTGTAAAATTCCATTCTGCGACATTATCGACTGCACTAAGTTTGTATTTAATAACACGTATTTCTCACTCGATGGAAAATTTTATAGGCAGATTTATGGAACTCCTATAGGCTCACCAATTTTGGCCTTTGTTTCTGACATTGTAATGGATGATCTGGAAAATGACTGTCTTGAAATATTAAAAGAAAAATATAATCGTGTCCCTCTATTTTACTTTAGATATGTGGATGATACAATTTTGGCTGTAAGAAGAGAACATGTCGATCTTGTAATTGACACTTTCAATTTGTAATGATCTTAAAATTTGCCAATAGGATTTGCTCGCCGGATGGAGTCGGGGTACTTAGTTTAGTTAAATTCTATCAATTTATCAAAACAATATTTATCTTTAGGACCGTTTTATACCATGATTTAGAATAAGGTGTAGTCATTAATTAAACCTTCGTAAGGAAGTATATGTTAGTAACAAATAAAATAACAAAAAAATACAAAATAACAAAATAGTATAAATTAATAAAAATAGAATGATCTTAGAACTTTAAATAGTAAAATATAGTTCGCTAGTTAACCTTCGAGATTAACGAGTAATAATTTTAACAATACAATAACTTTAACTCTAGTGAATTTACTTAGTATACCGTTTTGCTAATATTCAACATAACGAGTTTACGCTTTACTAGCTTTAATTAAATAATGATTGTTCTGACGTTTAAACTCGCGAGGGGTGGTTTCTAGAATTTACCCCCTAGACAACGTTAGGGACAAAAACTTGGGTCGTGCACGCTAGACGGTTATATGCTTGTAACCGGTGACTAGATATCGAAAATGCATTCGATATTCATGTCCTTCCCGAAGCTAGTGCGAGTAATGTGATGGCTCAGGTTGCATCTCCACCAAGTAGCCCCTTGGAGAATTCACCTGGTGCGTCATATCTGACGAGAGAGTTGCCCCTCAACTCGACAGGAATGGTACAACCAAGTGTGTGTGTGTAAGAGAGCAAAGGGTGTTACCCTTGTCACGGTTGCCCCCGTGCCCCTTGGTACATCTCCTTCTAGGAATTCTTACACAAAGCTAGTGGTAGCGGTAGCCCCCACATTTCACCTGCCCTGTGCAAAAGGTAAAAGGGTTAAGAAAGAGAGAGTGTAAGAATGAGTTGCTGTCGGTCTACCTCAGAGCAAGCCCCGAGTCAGTTCGACGGCGAACTGATGAAATTCTCACTGCAAGCAAGGTATATAGAGGTCTGGTCGCTATCCAGGTAAGTCTCGCGGTGTGGAGCGTGACGTTGCCGCGACGCGCGGTGTGTGCGTGGTGACTACTTTCTTCGCGACTAGCAGGCTGAACGTGCTGTAGTATATATAGATATACTGTCTGCACAAAATATAATTTCTCACGTTAGATTTTAAATGCTATCGATACAAATTCTTATGACCAAAAGTTACAAATTACTATGGAAATAGAAAAAAACAATTCCATTAACTTTCTTGACTTGACACTCATAGGTTTACAAATTAAAAACTTTTTTTTGCCAATCGAACAAAACACTTTTTTTCGAATAGTAGGTGTTTTTTGAGTAAGAAAATCATAGTTTCAATTTTTTTCCCTCGTGCAGTTTTTGTGTAGCTTCAAATGTTGCATTTTCGAGGTGCGACGCCACTTAAACTTACCTGTAGGAAAATAAGCTTATCAGAATGTAATAAATGAGTTACTCGGGGGTTTTCAGGGGCTCTGATTACGAATCCAATGTCAGATTTCAAAAATTAAAAATGGCGGAACCAATAGGTGCGAATTCGATGGATTTCAAAAAACTCGTTCACCATTATGAATCCATCATTTTCAATTTTCGAAATCCGACATCGGATTAGTAATCAGCGACCCCGAAAACCCCCGAGTAACGAATTAAAGACGAATTTAATCGATTTTTAAAAATTTGTCCGCCGTATTGAATCCGCCATTTTGAAATTTGGAAAACTAACATTGGATTCGAAATCTACCATTTCAGAAATCCTTGATTAGTGATTTTAGTAACTTTAGAGCTTAACTAAATTTTATTACTTCAATTTTTGCTACAAATGTTTAAGGGATACTAAAAATAAAAAATGTAGTTTCGTTCACTAATTTTAGTGTAGAATTGTGATTTTTGATCCAATCGAGATCCACAAGGGCTTAAAATTTGTGTAATGATATAGTCAATCAATAAAAAACTTAAAACCTAAACATTTTTTCCTGTTTGATGTAGAAAAAAATAGTAGAAGTCACTCAAATGTCTAAAAATCATCAAAATTGTCATGAAATTTCATTTTTAATCGACTGTAACTCTCTCAATTTTTGTTGAATTTCATTCTGCGACCTATGGATCGAAAGGTAATTTAATAACCTTTCCAATGATACCTCATTTATTATATTTTGAGAAGCTAATTTTCCTACAGGTGAGTTTAAGTGGCGTCGCACCTCAAAAATGCAACATTTAAAGCTACACAAAAACTGCAAGAGGGAAAAAAATCGAAACTATGATTTTTTTACTCAAAAAACACCTGCTATTGGAAAAAAAATGTTTTGTTTGATTGGCAATTTCACTGTAAACCAGTGTCATTAGAGAAAATAATCATATAATCACTGACTGGTATTAAAAACCTACTTCTTCCGACAGACTTATTAATTATTTTTCAGATCATCCAATTCAACAAAAAAAAAAGAATACTGTGTACAACTTAGTTGATAGAGCTATTTCATTGTCCAATAAAAAATTCCATTTTGACAACTTTAAGAAAATTAAAAAATTCTAAAAAACAATAGTTATCCTTTAAATTTTATCGAAAAACATATTGGTATTAGAATGAACAAATTAAAATATTCGAATGAGAATAATAACAACCAAAATAGAGTTAATATATATAGTCAAATCCCCAAGGTCGCTTTGCCCTTTAACGAAAAATATTTCTTTAAGTTGTAAAATGTCCTTAGGGAATTTAATTGTACTTCTATTCCCAACGTAAACTAAAACTCTAATTCTATTGTAAAATTTGGAAAAGATACAACTCAAAAATGAGATAAAACGAATGTCGTATATAAGTTTGATTGTAAAGACTGCCCAGCAATTTATATAGGAGAGACAAAGCGATTACTACAAACTTGCATCAACGAACACAAAAAAAGTGAATTATAATTCTGTGGTCTATCGACATCGTTTATATTTTAATCATGATTTTTATTGGGAAAATACAAAAATATTGGATAATGAATCTAATTTTAAAAAAAGAAGAATATCTAACAAAATTTAGGTATATCATTATTGTTAATTTATAGAAATAGTGCTTTTAGACCTTTACAAAAAATACTGAAGTGTAACCTATCTATTTAATAAATTTTAGCCTGATGAGGTTGGCAAACCCTAGCCAACGAAACGTCGCTCTTTTAACGACACACTTTTAAATTCTATTCAAATTTTACCTTCCCAAGATCATATATATTATCAACATTAACAAACTATGGAAGGATAAATTTTTAACAACTTACAAAAAACCAGGTATATCTTTTTTCCATTTGCCTATGAATCCAATTGTAAGTTTTACTTAAAATCTATTTGTTTATTCTTGGGATGAAACACTCTTTACCCAGCTTAATTTGTTTATAACAATTTTATAAACAAAATATGACTTGTAGAAAAAATGACCTATACAAAACATTCTTATTTTTCCACGTAGAATGAATTGGCGTTAACTGTTTTTAAAAAATTAAAAAATTTTATTAATTTGTTTAAACAATGGTTGTTAAACAATTGGAAATAAAAAACAAAAAAAACAGGTATATATTTTTTCCATTTGCCTATGAATCTAATTGTTAGTTTTCTAACCCTTTAACGCCCGACTTTTTTGTAGCAGTGCAATTCACGTCATTGCTCGTATATAAAGGTTTTCAGGGTCGCTGAATACGAATTTGAGGTTAGATTTTAAAAATTTAAAATGGCGGATCCAATATGGCGGACATCTTTTCTAAAAATTGATTCAATTTGCCTGAAAATTGTTACTCGGGGGTTTTTGGGAGCGCTGATTACGAATCTGATGTCCTTTTTTCAAAATTCAAAATGG